GGTGTGTGTGTGTGTGTGTGTGTGTGTGTGTGTGTGTGTGTGTGTGTGTGTGTGTGTGTGTGTGTGTGTGTGTGTGTGTGTGTGTGTTTTAAAATTAATTAATTTTTTAACATCTTTACTGGAGTATAATTGCTTTACAATGCTGTGTTAGTTTCTGCTTTATAACAAAGTGAATCAGCTATACATAGAGATATATCTCCATATCCCCTCCCTCTTGTGTCTGCCTTCCACTGTCCCTATCCCACCCCTCTAGGTGGTCACAAAGCATCGAGCTGATCTCCCTGTGCTATGCGGCTGCTTCCCACTAGCTATCTAGTTTACATTTGGTAGTGTATATATGTCCATGCCACTCTCTCACTTCATCCCAGCTTACCCTTCCCTCTCCCTGTGTCCTCAAGTCCATTCTCTACATCTGCATCTTTATTCCTATCCTGCCCCTAGGTTTTTCAGAACCATCTTTTTTTTTTTTTTTAGATTCCATACATATGTGTTCAGCTAATGGTTTTAACTCATTGTTTTAGCTCAATGAGTCATTAAGATAATGGGACTAATTACCAAATGATTAATTTTGAACTGGTGTCAGGGAATGGAATATAAGAGGCATCTTAAAATATCTGAAGGGCTATCATGGTAGTAAGCATAATCTGCATTGCTCCAGAGAATAGCTTGTTTTTTTTTAATTGTAGTTGATTTACAATGTTGTGTTAGTTTCAGGTGTATGGAAAAGTGATTCATTTATGTATTCTTTTTCAGATTCTTTTGTATTCCAGCTTATTACAAGATACTGAATATAGTTCTCTGTGCTATACAGTAAGTCCCTGTTGTTTATCTATTTTATATATAGTAGTGTGTATCTGTTAATCCCATACTCCTAATTTATCCCTCTCCCCCTTTTCCCCTTTGGTAACCACAAGTTTGTTTTCTATGTCTGTTTGTTTCATAAATAAGTTCATTTGTATCATTTTTAAAGATTCCACATATAAGTGACATCATATGATTCATCTTTCTCTGTCTGGCTTACTTCACTTAGTATTATAATCTCTAGGTCCATCCATGTTGCAAATGGCATTATTTCATTCTTTTTTAAGGCTGAGTAGTATTCCATCGTATATATGTATTACATCTTCTTTATCCATTCATTAGTTGATGGACATTTAGGTTGCTTCCATGTCTTGGCTATTGTGAATAGTGCTGTAGTGAACATTAGGGTGCATGTATTTTTTCGAATTAGAGTTTTCGTCTTTTCTGGATATATGCCCAGGAATGGAATTGCTAGGCCATATGGTAATTCTCTTTTTAGTTTTTTAAGGAACCTCCATACTGTTCTCCATAGTGGCTGCACCAATCTACATTCCCACCAACAGTGTAGGAAGGTTCCCTTTTCTCTACACCTCCAGCATTTATTTGTAGACTTTTCTGATGGCCATTCTGACCAGAGAACAGTTTTTAATGAGACGGTTTACAAAAAGAAAAGCAGGTTCAGCTTTACATAAGGAAGGAGCAACTTTTAAATAAAATACTGGCAGAAAATGGAATGAGGTAACGCGCTCACCAGCTCTATTAGCGTTCTGGCATAGGCTGGATAACCACTATTGCAATGTTGCAGAGATGATTCACATATCAGATCCTTCCAAATCTGAGATCTCACAGTTCCTTGTCTCTCATCTGTCCTGTATCCCTCCTGCCCACGGCTATTGGGGAGGATGAATTAAATGCCGTCTTGTAAATATCACACAGCCAGTGGTTCCCCCCCTTTGCTTATAGCAACGTTTCAAACACTGCTGAGCAGATCCACCTGTGAAACTTTAAAACAAAAATCTAGCTTTCCGTTTTTTTTAAAAAATTATTTAATTTTGGCTGCACTGAGTCTTCGTTGCTGTGCGTGGGCTTTCTCTAGCTGTGGCGAGCGGGGGCTACTCTTGGTTGCAGTGCATGGGCTTCTTATCGCGGTGGCTTCTCTTGTTGTGGAGCACGGGCTCTAGGCACGTGGGCTTCAGTAGTTGTGGCGCACGGGCTTAGTTGCTCTGTGGCATGTGGGATCTTCCTGGACCAGGGATCAAACCCATGTCCCCTGCATTGGCAGGCGGATTCTTAACCACTGCGCCGCCAGGGAAGCCCTTTCCATTTTTTTTTTAAATCTACAGAATTAAATGTGAGGTCCTGACTATGCATTTTTTAAAAAATTTGTAATGTATCAAAAGATTGCCAGTCACTGGCTAACTGTAACAAATTTGAACATATAAATAGTACAGTAAAAAGTGAAAGTTCTTTTTTCTATACCTTTTTGCACTACAACTTGCTTTTTTCCTTCATTTAATGTATTTATTTTAAAGCCCCAAAAGTGATTCTTATTATTTAAAATTAGTATTTATTTACTGAAGTGGTATTACCTGTACCTCACAAAATTCGAAAGGAACAAAAAGGTACAAACTAAATTTCCTTCCTTTCCCTAACCACGTTCCTTGCCCAGGAGGCAAGCCCTGTACTCTGTCTTCCGCAGGCCATTCTGCTCTGCAGCCAGGCTGGTCAACAGGAGGAAGCCCACTGCTCAGCCTGAAGGTCCCCATCACCTACATGCTTCAGTGATATCTTTAACCATTCTTGTACAGAAGCTCTCTGCTCCAGCTGGCCTAACCTGAATCACCACGACAGGCAAATCTCTGCCACTGATTCATTACTTTTAACAAGTTCTGTCTCATGCAAGGAGTTCATGGAGGCGTTTGGTTGGGGAATCCACAAAAATGATTATGGGAAAGTGCTGTGTGTGTGTGTACGTGTATGTGCATGTTTCTGGGAGAGAGCCTCAGAGGGACCCACAGACTGTCAGTGGTTAGAAAATGGTGTAATATAACGTGAGAACTGTAACAAAATTAAAAATCGCCTAGTCTATAATCTTCTCATTTTACAAATGAGGAAACTGAAGACCAGTAAACATTTCTTAATAGGCACAAATGAAACACAAGTGGGTAAATAAACTAACCAGAGATACACAGCTTGTTGACTCTGGCTAAGATTCTTTAAACTCTGTCTTCGTTGACCATGAGGCTGGAACCAGAACCCGGTGTTCCCGACATCCAGCCTGGGCTCCTGCACCACACCATGAAATCCTCCCTCCCTGAAATGTCCTCCAATTGCTCTAAGCTCTTCCCTTTCTTCAAGGCCCAGTCGCTTTAAAACCTGGTTCAGTGGCTCTACCTGGCAACCAGCATTTACGAATGTCATTAAAAAAATAAGTTTCACTGAGGTAATTCACATACCACAGAATTCACCCCTTTCAAGGGTACAGTTCAGTGTTTTTAGTATACTTAGAGTTGTATAATCATCACCACTAATTCTAGAACATTTTCATCACCCCCTAAATAAACGTCTTACCCACTAGTGGCCCACTCCCCTACCCCTCCCACCCACAAACCACTAACCCCCTTCTGCCTCTACAGGTTTGCCTATTCTGGGCATTTCATGAATAGAATCATATTAACATGTGGCCTTTTGGTCTAGCTGCTTTAACTTAGCATAAGGTTTTCAAGGTTCATCCATTTTGTAGCATGAATCAGTAGTTAATTCCTTTTTATCACTAAGTAAGATTCCATTGTGTGGATATACCATATTTTGTTTATCCACTCCTCATTTGATGGGTATTTGCGTTGTTTCTACTTTTGGGCTATTATGAATGATGATGCTGTGAGCATTCAATGTACCAGTTTTTGTAGGGATGTGTTTTCAGTTCTCTTGGGTATATACTAGGAGTGGAACTGCTGGGTCATACAGTCTCTCTACATTTAACCTTTTGAGGAACTGCCAGACTGTTTCCCAAAGTGGCTGTACCACGTCACATTCCCACCAGCACTGTTCCAATTCCTCTGATCCTTGCCCCCACTTGTTAATGGATTACATCCATGCTACTGATCGTGAAGTTGTATCTCACTGTATATCTATTTTTAATTTGAATGTTTTCTCATGTGGTTTTGATTTGTATTTCCCTAATGACTAATTTAAGCTGAACATCTTTTCATACGTGTATTCGTCATTGTATATCTTCTCTGGAGAACTGTCTGTTCAAATCCTTTGCCCATTAAAAATCTGGACTAATATTTGATAAGACATCACTCGCTGTTCAGTTTAAGTTTATGGGCCTAGGATTTCAGAAGCAGTGAGGGTCATCCACATTGTCCAGAAGGTTCTATTTTTTGGGAAACAATAAGAATTCCCCCCCCATTGCTAATAAAGATTGACACTAGGCACAAATATAAATAAATGATCTGTCGTTGGCACACTCACCTGCTTCCTACTTCCTGGTGCCTCACTTCTAGGCTCTGAGTGACAAACCAATGCTGAGCACTTGCAGTCAACATGCCGTTCTCCTAATTATAGCTGATTAGCCTCCAGTTTTAGGATTAAGTGACACGGATTTAATCTACACACCCTGATTAAGGCGATGATCAAATCCTTACACATTTGCCTTTTGAAAAATGAATGATTATTAACCAAACTATCTCTCATTGGTGAAATTTAGGAACGTCGAAAAAGCGTAGGTGGCCTGGGAGGAAGGCACCCTGGAGGCGGAAGGGCCACATGTAGGAAGACTACGGACGCAGGGAGCTTTTTGCAGTCTCTTTCCTTTTCCATTTCTAAATTCGTAGGTTCTCCAAGTCTCAAATTTCTTTTCTTTCTAATGTTGGGGTAAGTGTGACAGGGTTAGGGAGAAGTGGCAGCTCCAGTGGTTTGTGTCTTTTAATTTGTGACATTCTGCTCCCCACTTCCCCCAAGGGCTCCGGGCGCTATTTGGGACCTAAACCCAAAAGCGTGAGAGGTGATGAGGGGTTTCAAAAGCAGCCTAATTAAATGATGATAGCATCTAACCTCTATTTTTGCTTTTCAATCTGTGCACTACAAAAGCAATGACAAAGGTAAGGCACAGAGCAGCATTAGTCATAAAAGCCCAAAAGTGGACACAACCCAAATGTCTATCAATTGATGAATGGATAAATAAAATGTGGAATACTCATACAATGGAATATTATTCTGCATTAAAAAGGAGTGAAGTACTGATATATGCTACAACATGGTTGAACCTCAAAACATCATGCTAGTGAAAGAAGTCAGACACAAAGGACCGTGTAGCATATGATTCCATGTATATGAAATTTCCTGAATAGGCAAATCTCCAGAAACGGGTAGATTAGTGGTTGCCAAGGGCTGGGGGGAGTAGCAGGAAATGAGGAGTGACCGCAAATGGCCATGGGGTTTATTTGGGGCTGTGAAAATGTTCTAAAATCGATCGTGGTGATAGCTGCACAACTCTGAATATATTTTTTAATATATGGTAACATAATACTGTTGAATTGTATATTTTTAATAGGTGAATGGTAGGGCATGTGAATTACACATCAGTAAGGCTGTTATTTTAAAAAGTAATACATAAACATTTTATAAAAGACTGAAACAATACAAGATATAGTAAGACAGAAGTTCCCTGTAAAGGTACTCTATTTTAGAATTTTAAATTATTATTATTATTTTGGCCGTGCCGTGGGGCTTGTGGGATCTTAGTTCCCCAACCAGGGATTGAACCCGGACCACGGCAGTGAAAGCGCTGAGTCCTAACCACTGGATTGCCAGGGAATTTCCAAGAATTTTAAATTAAAAGTTTGATTTTTCATTGAATGCCACTGGTAAGCCTTGCACCAAAACCTAATGTTTGATTAGATTCTATAATAAGTTTCCTTGTGTTACTTTAATAAACTGTTGTTCTGAGGACCAGCTATTGGCAAAGCACACATTTTTACTAAAATTAACTAGAAATAGCACTTTGGGAACAAATCATAGTCTAGTACATTAAGGGGATGCCAAGGACCGTGGAATAAAACAATTCTACAGGATGGCTGAGAAATTTTTCTTAATTGGAGCTTTTTTTTTTTTTGCAGTAAGTGGGCCTCTCACTGTTGTGGCCTCTCCCGCTGCGGAGCACAGGCTCTGGATGCGCAGGCCTAGCGGCCATGGCTCACGGGCCCAGCCGCTCCGTGGCATGTGGGATCCTCCCGGACCGGGGCACAAACCCGCGTCCCCTGCATCTGCAGGCGGACTCTCAACCACTGCGCCACCAGGGAAGCCCGCTTTTTTTTTTTTTTAAACAGCCCCACCTCCTCATCCCACCCTTTTAACTGAGCACTAATTTGACTAAAAGTGCCAAAATACATCTCAGGGATTTATCCGTGATGAGAGACCACAGTAAATGAATGAAGGTGTTAACACCATGAAGGGAGAGAGAAGCATTCACGATGCTCACCTTTATGACATGGATGTTGAGCGTGTATCTCATTCTCCAGGAACCACCTTCTAGAGGCATCTGAAGGAGCAGCAGCTTTCTTTACTGATTTCAAATGAAAGTCCTGTTCTTCAGCTTCCTCCCACTAAATACAAATAAATGAAAAAAAAAAATCACATAAATTTATGCTAATGCAAGTTCCTATAGTGAAGTAGCCCCTTTTGTCTCCTCTACTTTATATTTCCAAGGCACGTAGGATTTATTTGGTATTAGGGAATCTGGGTGCCTGTCTTGGCTCAAGGCTGTTGAAGAACCCTGAAAGCAGAGGCACTTCTGACGTCCCTACTATTCAATTCCTCAGAGTGCCATACAGGCCCCAACTGTCACTGAAATAATTCATTTCAATACATTTCAGATCTCAAACCTTATGGGATTGAGTTTTTAAAATTAATGGATGGAAAGGTATCCATGAGAATGAAAGACATGCTCCAGGAAATAGTGCAGAAAGGTTGAAGGAGGCAGTTTTTCTGATGACCTTGGAGCCAGGATACCAACCGTGGACTGCCCACCTCCAGACTTTTCATGTGAAAAAGAAAAATACTTCTATCTTGCTTATAGTTACTGTTATTTTGGTTTTTGTTACTAATAGCTACATATAATTCCTAACTGTTCAAAGTCTTTTACGTTGCTAGTATAAAAAATTAGGTAAATTAAAGTAGTAATATTATACAATCAGCTAGAACAAATCCACGAGGTTGGGAAGTTGAGACACTAATGTAACTGAGAAAGACACTTAGTCATTCTTAGGTGGCATCAACATTGGACTTCTCTGAGCTCTACGTATTAAAATTAGATCATCTTTAAGATCTTTTCAAACACACATTATGTGGTTTGATGCTATTGCCATTTGATTATGTACTATTTCAAGATTTAAATGATTAATAACAAGAAGTTTATAACACCATTCTTACCTTTTTAGCTTCCCCCTCCATCACTGCATTTAATACTTCCATTTCTTTCTTTCTGTTTTTCTGAAGCAGTTTGGCTACTTCCTGGTAACATTCATTTCGGTGTAGATCATCGCATCTTTGTTTATGTAAAGCTTGAATTCGCCAGTCAGTATTTAGACATGCTTGTTCAGCTTTTGCCAAATTTTCTTCAACTAACTAAGAACAATTCGTAAATTTCAGAAACAAGTTTAGACTACATAAAATACGGTATGTCCATTCAATGTATCCAAGTGTCCAGGACAGATGTTCACAACCCTGGTTGCATATTAGAATCACCTCAGTGTTTAAAACAAACTGATGTCCAGGCTCCACCACGTGTTTAAAACAAACTGATGTCCAGGCTCCACCACAAACCAACTAAATCAATCTCTTTATCAGCTGGATATTGGTACTTCTAGAAAGCTCTTCAAGTGGTTCTAATGTATAGCCAAGGTTGAGAACTTCTAGGCTAAGGGATGGGTGGAATTAAACAATTCCTATGTTTCAGTCCTTTGAAAAGGAGTCAGAAGAACCTATTTTTACAGACTGGACAAAAGCCTATAAGGACAAAAAAGGGGGCAGGGGATATTCTGGGGGGGAAGCCAAGGGACAGAACAGAAGGTAGGGAAATCTTACACCATTCCTGGCTTTTGGAACAGGGCCAGGCCCTGCCACAGACCCACTTACCATTTCGTTAAAGGGATAATTGACAAAGTTCTATGCTGAAGCCCTCAAATTCTATTTCCATTCATTTAAGCCAGCATTTCTGAAAGGATACTCCGCAAGAAATTCTATAAGATAAGTTTAAGAAACTTTCTTAAAGATTCACAATGTGCCATATCCTCAAACCTGGCATGGAAATACCTAACTTTAAGACAGCGTTTTCAATACGTGTCATCCCCATTTTATTTAATACTAGTTATTGATATTCTACAGAATACACTTTGGAAACGCTGGCTTATATACCAGGCAGAGGCCTGATGTTTTGCAACTAATCCACTCAGGGATAATTTCGGAGACTTAACAATGTAGGGCACTAAAATTTATAAAGTTATTCCCTATGTATTTTCTTCCAAGTCTTGAAATTCTCTAAGAGTATAAAAGACACATGTATATGGCTGTCAGTGAAGTAAGTAGCCTCTAAATAAAATAATGTGAATTCCTAGGAACTGTGATAACTGAAGCAAAGAAACAAATTAACTTTATAGAGTTCATTATTAAATTCCTTCTTTTAAAAGAATGGCAGATGATAATTCCTCCTTCTATAGATACACTAAATTTATCATATTTTTACCTTCTGAGCTTTTTGGTTCTGAGTCTGATCTGTTCCTATCGGTCTATGAAACATGTGATCTTCAAGATCCACTTTTCGTTTATTGGCGTCTGCATCTTCTCTCATTTCTTTTGCAATAGCTTCTTGATTTCTAATGAGATTCTGTTAAAGAAATCATTTTAAAAAAATCACCAATCCATATAATAATGATGTTAGAACACAAAAACGTCTTTGCTCTTTTTCAGAATACCAAAACTGTAATCATCTAATTTTCAAAGTAAAGCAAACAGTGGTGACATCAGTGGAAATAAGAGTAAGGACCTCTGAAAATTCTCTCATCTATAAAAGCACTGAGATCACTGGCAAAACAAACTTTTTTCAGAACTCTGGAAATAAACTGAAGGCTTACAGCAATCTGGGGAGCATTTATTCATAAAAATGGCTGAATCTTAGTAAGAAAGACCAACTTTATGGCATTTTAAACTTGCATTATTCCTATTCCTATTCCAGCCACCCCTAAGCTCTGCCATTAGCTTTGAAAATCATTAGCCTGGCAGCCAATGGAGGGGACAAAATGGAGTTGAGGTCCTTGTAACTCCCACTCCCAGAGAACTGTCACCATCTGACTTGGAAGACCCCACTTTCAAGGCTGTTTTTATTTGACCTGACTCATAACTCACCTGTAGCCTTTTCCCTGGGGATATCTGCTGAAAACCATCAGGGGAAACTGTTGAACATCGTAACTGTCCAAGGCAGTGGATCACAGAGCAAACAACAGGCCAATCAAAAAGCTTTGTAGGAAAAGCTGGGGAATCAGATACCTATAGGGGGCTCTGAAATGCTCCAATAGATTCCAGGGACTTCAGAAGGCCGTGTGCATGTGTACAATGTGCGCGTGCCAAGGGCTGTGTGAATGCTCAGACCTGAGAAGGTCCTAAGCGCTCAGCTCTGGTGAACTGAGGTTTGCAAAATCAGGAAGTGAAATCTAAGAGAGTTGTAAACTATCTAACTTGAGTGTTGAAAGTGTGCCCGAAAATGATGCACACGGTGCCTCTCGGCAAAGACTAGAGGCTTTCTGGTTCAAGGGATCTAAGGAAATCTCTGTCTAGTCACCAGGCTACCTGAGTAGAGACTTCAGTGGCTACGCATGACAAAGAATACTTTACAGAATAATTCAGAAAAGTCACTAAGCAAAGAAACAACAAGAGACCCTTAGGAGAGAAAAGAATGTGATTTCCAGAAATGTCCTCTTACTTAAAATAGCTAGTTTTCAACAAAAAATTACACGATATAACAAAAACCAAGAAAGTATGGCCCTACGTGCTTTAAACAGACATTAACCACATGATCTCCGAAGAAGATATAAAAACGGACAACGAACATATGAAAAGGTGCTTGATATTAGTCAACAGGTAAACGACAAATGCTAATTGAGGAACATTCTACAATATATCTGGCCTATATACTTCAAAAGTATAAGTGTCATAAAATATAAAGACAAGACTCAGGAGTGGTTCCAACTGAGAGGAGAATAAAGAAACATGACAACTGAAACAAATGGAGTAGCTTAGATTTTCTTTTGCTATAAAAGACATGTTTAGGACAACTGATAAAATGTGAATACAGTTTATACAACAGATAATAATATGTTAATGTGCTGATTTTGATCACTGTACTGCGATTATGTAATAAGGATTCCTTGTAGAAAATATACAATGAAGTATTCAGGGGTAAAAGAGCATAATGTCTGCAACTCAAACAGCTCAGGAAAAAAAAGTGTGTGTGTGTATAGACAGAAAGAGAAGGATAATGCAAACTTAGCAAAATGTTAATATTTGAGAATCTGAGAGAAAAACACTTTGAAATTTTTAGTATTTTCTTGCAAAATTTCTGTTAATTCTGAAATCATGCCCCCGGTGCCACCACTCCACCTCCCCCGCAGAAAAGATAGTAAAAAAATAACCTCAAGCTTAGTTCAAATGAATGAATTGTAATTCAAAATCATAGGAGACTCAGTGTAAATTCCTGGGGCTCAGATTTAGAAAAAGTTCAGTGTAGAAACTTAAAGTGTTGTAGTTATGAATGGATGCTATGTTTTAAATCTTATTTAATGTGAGCAACAAACAATCATATGCACGTTACCTGTTACGTATTTGTAGTTATCGCTAATTTCAAACTCAGTCTGACTTTAAGAGGACTGAAGGAAGTGAAAACGTGGTTTCAACATTAAATAAATGAGTAACATAATGCTTTTCCCCAACAAAAAATATCTACAGCAGTAAGAAAGTTTCCAGTGTCTTGGAAACTGAATTATACGTGCTAAAGTAGGTCCTTGCTGATTTGATTCCAGAAGCTTCAAATTTCGAGTGCTTTACAGCTCGTACCTGACTTACCTGGTAGGATCCTTGTGAAGTACTGGGGTAATTCTGCAGTCACTGTTACACAGATATGAGGAAACTTAGGAAGTTAGTAAAAGATCCTGAGGCAAAATCTGGGGCTTACATCTGGTGCTTCAGACACTAGACTAAGTTGTTAAGAGAAACATGAATTAAAGAATTACAACAAACTGTGCATTCAGACATTCTGGCTACCTTACAATCCTGGATAACACTATACTCTTCTTGAAAAAGAAAATAAAATGAACATTAAAAAACCTTGAATAAACTGTCTAAAAAGAGTTCGTACAAACTCTGCTTTTCTTCTATTGGAAGTTGTTGATTTCTACCTTCTCGTGAAGGCTCTTTTGTGATCCGAGTTCCAGACGTCTCACTTCTAGGTCTTTGGCTGTGGCAACAATGTCTCGATCTCTCATACGTACCTACGGCCAAATAACAGACTGTCAATACCAAAAACAATTTACATAAATATTTTTTGTTTAATAGATGAAGTAATCTTGTGATATGAACAACCCGCTAAATGCATTTAAAATAAGAGGTATTGGGTTTTTGAAACCAGAGTAATTGCCAATCCATTAACATTCACTGTGGAATCTAGAAATAACGTCTGAGTTAAAGTTAAGCATAATTTTCTAAAAAAGAAAACACAATTACCATATGCTCATCTGCCCAGACTGGGAGAACAGATGGCAGCTCTTTCCATATTACATTAGCCATATTATGAGTTAGAAAAACTTGAGCAATTTCAATTCACAGTGGATAAAAATATAAAATGTTTAATCTTATTCGATATAACATTTATTTAATGTTCTTTTTGATTAAACTTCTATACTTTTCTAAATTCGGTTTGGCAACTAGTAATTTCAAGTTAAAATTTACTGTGGACTGTTCAGCCTGTATGTGCCCTGCTTGGACTTAGCCCATTTAAAGTTCACCTTTCTCAAAATCTGATTACTTGGGAGCTTTTCAGTCCTATACACTAGAGGATTTGGATCAGGAACTCTTTAGATACTAGAGACTCCTGGGAACTGTCTTAAATACTTGGCTGCCTAAAATGCTCATCCTTTAGGAGTGAGAATAACATGATATGTGTTTCAGAACAAAACAAAACAAACTATAACCCATGAGGCATCTAACCTAATCATTTCATCCAACCAGTAAACGGTTAATGATTGCATTACTACTTACACGCATAAGGCAAAGTGTTAGATATTGTAGACAAACTATCAAATACATATAATCAGAGAAACAAACAGTAAAAATGAGAGTATAGTGGGATGTGCAAGGACATGCATCCAAGGAGTAAAAAAACCACGGACGGAAAACCAGTTCACCTTAAAGAGGTTCCTGAGAAAGCAGTTAGCTCAGAGGTGGGGAGACTTGAGTTGATGAGGCAAGAGTAGTTATAATGCTGAGGTGGAGGAGACGTTTGGCATAGCAAATAATGCTTTTTAGGAATTTCAATTACAGAAGCTCTTTTGCTCATGAATTTTCAGAGATACAAACAGCTATGTACCAGAGCAAAACAGATCAACTTTGCTTGCTACTAACAGATGTCTGTGTCACTTGTACGTGTCACTTTGGACTCAAGCTGCCTTTCCTGCTGGTGCCTGAACGGTGAGTAGAGAAGCTTCTGCTATTTAGCAGGGTCAGAGCTCACTATCAGACCAGGGAGATGGAAGGGCAGGAGGCTGGAATGGGAGGCAGAGGCCAGATCGTGCCATTGAAAGGACTTGACAGGATTCTTTCACCAAAAAAACTGCCTTCCACTATCTCAAAGGGGTTTGGAATAAAGAGATCAGAGTTCTAAGCCTGTATTACTTTTGGGGAAGAACACAGATTTTCTAGAATAATGAATTACCAACCTCATTTACTAGATGAGATAGTTAAAAGAAATCATGGATTTTAAAAACCAACTTAAAGTTAATTGGCTTTAAACAAAACAAAGTATTATCTCATGCTATAAAAAGAGATAATAGATTATTAATATAGATGAATGAAAATCTTAAGAAAAATTTAAATATTTACTACTTTATCAAAAGCAAGTTTGAAACTCCTTAATTAGTTTACAAATTCAATGCAATCCTAATAAAAATTCCAATAGGATGGGGGGATTCAGAGAGAGAGAGAGAGAGAGAGAGAGGGAGAGAGAAAATTTTCAAAGTCTATTTGAAATGAAAAACATTTGAGAATACTGAAGAAAACTTTTTTTTTTTTTTTTGCGGTACGCGGGCCTCTTACTGTTGTGGCCTCTCCCGTTGCGGAGCACAGGCTCCGGACGCGCAGGCTCAGCGGCCATGGCTCACGGGCCCAGCCGCTCCGCGGCATGTGGGATCTTCCCGGACCGGGGCACGAACCCGTGTCCACCTGCATCGGCAGGCGGACTCTCAACCACCGCGCCACCAGGGAAGCCCCCAAGAAAACCCTTTAAAAGGCACACTAATTATGGTAATTAGGCCTACTAATTAGTAAAACATTACACAGGTGTTATTCACACAGTGTGGTACTGGCTTAGGAATAGACAGCAAAGGAGGAGATCAAGTTTATAAGGGAACTGAACATTTAATAACCATCAGCTGGCAAAATGACTTCGCTAATATTCAACAAATGCTGCTGGGAAAACTGACTTGCCTTTGGAAAGAAGTAAGCTTGGTTCCTAACTCATTCCTTATATTCAATTTTCAGACACATCAGGGGCTGGCAAACTTTTCCTGTAAAGGGTCTCAGAGTTAAATACTTTAGGCTTTGTGGGACATCGTTTGTGTCAGCTAGTCACCTCTGCTGTTGTAGTGCGAAAGCAGCCGAAGAAATATGTAAACAAATAAGTGTGATCGTTTTCCAATGAAACTGTATTTATGGTCACTGAAATTTGAATTTCATGTTTTAAAAATTTAATATAATTTTCATGTCATGAATTATTATTCTTTGATTCCGATTTTTTTTAACTACTGAAAATGTTAAAACCATTGTAACTCACGAGCCTTAACAAAACAGGTGGTGGGTCAGATTTGCTGGCACACAATAATCTGCTGACTCTTAGGGACTTCCCTGTGGCACAGTGGTGAAGAATCCGCCTGCCAATGAAGGGGACACGGGTTCGAGCCCTGGTCCGGGAAGATCCCACATGCCGCGGAGCAACTAAGCCTGTGCGCCACAACTACTGAGCCCACGCTCTACAGCCCGCGAGCCACAACTACTGAGCTCGCATGCCACAACTACTGAGGCCTGCGCGCCTAGAGCCCATGCTCCACAACAAAAGAAGCCACCGCAATGAGAAGCCCGCGAACCTCAATGAAGAGTAGCCCCTGCTCGCCACAACTAGAGGAAGCCCACGCGCAGCAACAAAGACCCAACACAGCCATAAATAAATAAGTAAATAAATAATTAAAAAGATAATCAAAGATTTAAAAAAACAACAGAAAACTACAGAACTGGAAGAAAATAGGCATAAGTGGTAATATAACCTTAAATGGGAAGGTTAATAAACATGACAGAAAACCTAGAAGTCATAAAAAACTAATGAAGTTGGTTATCCAAAAATTAAAATATTTTACATAATGAAAAAAAGACACTGCAAACATTCTTAAGAGTCAAGAAACACAGACCGAGCAAAACATTCTCAACAGACAAAAGGATTAATGCCCTGACTCTATGCTGTGAGGCAAGCACTATAGCCACATATAACTGCTGAGTCACTTAAAATGTGATTAGCCCCAATTGAGGTGTGCTACAAGTATAAACTATTAGATTTCGAATACTTCGTACAAACAAAAGGTAAAACATCTCAATGACAATGTTTACTAATGACATACTGCAAAGATAATTTCAGATATACTGAGTTAAATATTATTAAAATTAATTTCACCTGTTTCTTCTTACTTTTTAATGTGGCCATTAGAAAACTTAAAATTACCCATGTGGCTCACATCATATTTCTATTGGACACTGCTGCCCCAAATGATAAAAGAGCCTGTGTAAATTGGTAAGAAAAAGAGTAACTTGGTAGAAAAATGGAAAAACGATTTAGATATGCAATTTTTAGTTCTACAAACGAAGATAAATAAATGAAGAGACTGGGCTTCCCTGGTAGCGCAGTGGTTGAGAGTCCGCCTGCCGATACAGGGGACACGGGTTCGTGCCCCGGTCTGGGAAGATCCCACATGCCGCGGAGCGGCTGGGCCCGTGAGCCATGGCCGCTGAGCCTGCGCGTCTGGAGCCTGTGCTCCGCAACGGGAGAGGCCGCAGCGGTTAGAGGCCCGCGTACCGCCCGAAAAAGTAAATATAAATAAATAAAGAGACAGGTAACATCATTAGCACAAAAAACAAAACCGTTTTTCACCTATCACCTATCAGACTGGCAAATATTAAGACTGATGCACTCCAAATTAACTAGGGTATCGGTACTCTTATATTCTCTCTTTTTTTTTTTTTTGCGGTACGCGGGCCTCCCACCGCCGCGGCCTCTCCCGCCGCAGAGCACAGGCTCTGAATGCGCAGGCCCAGCGGCCATGGCCCACGGGCCCAGCCCCTCCGCAGCACACGGGATCCTCCCGGACCGGGGCACGAACCCGCATCCCCCGCATCGGCAGGCGGACCCCCAACCACTGCGCCACCAGGGAAGCCCGTACTCGTATATTCTTAAAATACCTAAGTGGATTCATTTTTGGAGGACAATCTGGCATACCTTGGAATTTATTCAACAAAAATATGTGTGCAACTACTCAAAGATTTGTACCGAGAATGCACAATCTAGCAGTGTTTTGTACAGCAGAATACTGCAAACAACCTAAATGTCCAACAGCAAAGGATTAGTTAAGTAAACTATGACATGTCCATATAATGGAATACTATGCAACCATAAAAAAGAAAGATATATAGCCATTTTAAAATAATTTATCTCTGGGGATGAAATGAGAGAAGAGTGGAGAAGGTCCATTTTAACTCCATATATTTTATAATGGAGATCTTTCTAGACTGGCAATGTGTAAATTTTTATATTAAAAAGGAGCATTTCCCTTACTTCACAATTAACTTCATGCTTAATTGATACTTCTCTAAAAGAGACAGTCATCAAGGACACTCGTCAACCTGACCCATTTTCCTGGCATTTCTAAAACATTTAACCATTAATGAAATATAAAAGAGAATAAGAATAGCTGGGGGCAGGGCAGAATTACATAAAACTAAAGGGGCTATTTAGTATCCCTTGTGAACTCTAGGAATATTATTTAACTTGAAGGTGTTCGTTACATTTAAGTAAGAGTTAATGGAGATAATGTATGAGAACTAAGAATAATAAACCTTTCTCTCAATTTCATCATCCAGTCTTCTTAGCTCCATTTCACGCTGTTCTTGCTGAAGCTGCAGAAGATGCCTTCTTGCAGCATCTTGTAAGTGCACTTCCTTTACTTTCAACTCTCTTTTCACAGCAGCTAGTCTTAAACACAAAATACATCAAGAGGAATAAATAAAATCATTTCCCAATATATATTTAAATGGAAAAATACTATGTTTCACAACAATGAAAGGCCTGCCACCTATTTTGGTCCGCTTTCCCAATTCAACTGGTGCTATCATAACATGGGTTTTTATAATATATAAATGAAAACGCTCAATTACAAAATAAGCCTGCATTCATGAAAGTGACAAGTCCACATGCAATTGGCTATTTCTTCATACTCAAAAATTCTCTTTAACAGGTCTACTACTCAGATCACCTCAATACAATGAATATCCTTTATCTGAGAAAAGGCACCCCCCAAATACTCCAATGTTACCAAAGATTATGTATGCTTATTCTTTTAGAATTTTAGAAGGCTGATGGGTCAGTTCAGTAATTTTTTTAAATTCACACCAGAAATCTGTTTCATAGTCCTATCCAAAAGTAAGAATCAACAAACACTTACAGAAGTGATTTTCCCAACAATTAGCCTTAATCTCAATGCTTATCCCATGATCTTAGCTAATTTAAACATTTTGCCTTATTAATGTATTATTGAATAAGCATTTAATACTTCTTTCCTTGTCCTCCAAAGTATGAAATGTACAATGAGACAATCATTTTATGTTTCATTTTCAGGTCACACAGATATGTTTAAAACACAATTTAAAAAATTATACTCCACTAAAGATGATTTACCCAGCATTGTGTTGCAAGGCATTTCTGCCCACCGTAAAAGGTACCTTAGATCTTGTATTACTTCTGAATAATCAGAGCAAGTTATATTATACTCAGTATAGCTTTAGAATTACAGTTTACTACATGCCAATTTTTTGAAAAATGTATTATAATTTCTTTTTATTAGCTTAAACATTTGCTTAATGGAAATAGCAGAGCTGGGTAATACTATACAAAGTGAAACTGTATATAATTATATATAATTTCATAATAATGACAGAAATAAAAATTATTAAAATAACTCAGATGTCCAGCTTTTTTCAAAGTGTTAAACATACTTTTGTCTTTGCTGTATCATCATCTCCTCCTCTTGTAAGGGCGTTTCTCTCCTTGTTTCTTCAGCTTTACGAAGCGGTTCCTGTTTTTGGTACCAAGCTTCATCTTCAACTCTTTGCTGGTCTAGTTCAGCTTGCATGTCTTCAACTGCCTGCCTAGAGTAGATAATATTTATTATTATAACAAAACGCAAATAAGAAAACTGAGTAATTTAAGTCCAAGAACGAACAAAACACAAAATGTATGCCTGATTAACATGTAACTGTTTTACTTCCATATGCAAGAATACCTTTAAAGATATTTCCATCCTTCAAACTCTGATTTTATACAACTTAATAATTTACATGTCTTTTTCACAAAAATTTTGTTTATAACAGATTTTGTTTTTATCAAAGAACAACCGTTGCATGATTACCTCTCTCTTAAGTAATCCAGTTCATCATCCCTTATTCTTATTCTTTCTCGTTCCTGTGTCTGACGGTCCACAATAAACTTTGGATATTGATTAAATACTGGGTATTGCCCTTTTGTCAGTGCCACAAAAACATCAAGCATGCTGTCTGGATGAATATCAGTGGGCGTGGTATCCATGAGACGATAAACTTCTCTAATTACAGCACTTATATCCAGGTTATTCCGATGGTGAAAAAAATACTGTAAGAAAACTTCGTGTTTAAATTGAGATTGACCTAGTAAAGCAATTAAGGTAGAACTAAAACGAGTTTAAACACGTAAATGTGAATTTATCTTTAAGAGGATTTTTTTTTTTGTTGCAAATTCACTGAAGCGTTTCATAACCCAAGTTTTAAAATGAAGATCCAGTTTCATATTTAAAAAAATAAATTTATACAACCATATTACGAAATTTTGAAATAAAACTTTTAAAATGTTAACTCAAAATGAAGGCTTCCTTCATAATAGAAGACTGCTTCAACAACGAAATAAATTCTTCTACTGGAATTTTTTTCTTCAATATCCAAAATAGGTAAATTCAAAACTAAATTAGCCTTTGAAAATAACCTTGATTTTTAAAAAATATCTGACATGTTTCCACATTATCTTGTTCTGCTGGCAGGTCCAAATTCTAGTAAATACGCACACATACATACATGTATGTACGCATCTTGTGATCATGAAGTAAAAAGAGAGTTTAATTTGATAGGAACCACAAAATAAGTAACAAACAAACAAAGCCAACTTAACTTATCCTGTTACCAAAAGAATCTCTCCCTTTAAAAACTACCTCTAATGCTTTCTTTCAGCCACTGGCCTCAAAATTCTCAGTTACCATTCTGCATGTGTAATAAGCATCTAGATTATCCCAGACCAGCTAGGTCACTGATAAAATCATGCACAGAATAAACAACGACCCAATTGTTAAACATCCTTTAAACAGGCAAAAAGCACAAAACTCCAATATTATCATGATTCTTCTCCGAAGCTATGATTTTAGGACTAGTAGTCAAGCTATGACTGACTACAGCTATGTAGGGGCCAGCACGCAGTGGTATAACTTATTCTCCGCTATATTCTTACCACCTGGCACCAGTACCTGACATATAGTAGGTACTCAATAAATACGTGGATTTTTAACTGAAATAAATGAAATTTGAGAACCACTACTTAAGAACAAGGATATGTACCTCAAAATCATCTTTAAGATTACAGTTGAGCAAAGGAGCTCTAGAACATATGTTGTAGGCCACAACAGTCATCAGGAGGAATGAAGGATGGTTGGAAAAGACATTATCGAATAATTTTAGCCACTCCTCTCTGGTCAGTACTTCCGAGAACACAGTTTCAAGAAGAGGCCATGCATACAGCTAAAATAAATAAGAAAAAATGTATTATTTCTTGAGGGAAAAGTCATAACAGCCATTGCTAATACGCTCATTTGGTTTATATTTGGTTTATAAAATCATTATATTAAGAACATAACTATGAAAAGAACTACTCTAATTTCGGCTCTTCTTTACAGACTTTCAGGAAAGCAGTTTAATGAAGAAAAAAGTGGAATACTATTAAAAGCATAACAGTAGTATGTTTATTATATTCTTTCAAGAAAATACTGTCTTATTTATACCAGAACCAATGTTAGCTTCCAAAATAAGTTGTTATTCTAAAAACCTTACATTTCTTACCTGGGAAGTTATATCATGATTTATGAAGTGTTGCAGGAGTTCCTTGTCATGAAATGCCAAAACATTTTCTATCATACTAAGAATATTGATAGGAGGATTAGGAAAATATTCAAACCAGTGTTGACACCAATTGACTATGAAGAAAAAAATTGAAAATTTACCTTTACCTTTCTATATCATCAAAGAGCTTTGCAGTTCTTAAATGTATCCACTCTTTATATCCTCAACATGCCCATTAATAAGGAAAACATAACCCTTTAAATTCTAGAACAATAGATTTTAAAACTCCATCATGTTACCGCGGTATTTTAGGTTTATAGAATATTCCCATTTCTTCAGAGCAGTCAATGAGAAAGTGTCAACTGAAACAAACAAACCTTCCCAAAGTATTCCTGATGGTAGCTATAAGGCTCTGTTTCCTGCTGGCTTGTGTACTGCATGTATTTAGATTTCTCCTGGTTAACAAAATGACCCTCTCCTAAAAAAGGTCCCTATTTAAGTCTTCGATAAAATGTGATCAATGTTAAATGGCAATCGCCTCAAATCTACTAAAATTCATTCCTAATTAAAGAGTCCCATTTCTAGGAAAAGAGTGTTCCATAGGTATGGTAACAGGGAGTCACCAGGACTGGTTTTAAATCTAACTGATCAATGACAACTTGTTTCAGTAAACTTGACTTTGAAAACCAACCAATCAGTGACAGCTGCAGCAGCGTCCTCTGAAAGTCAGCCAATAGAAAGGAGAATCCGTTCCACTGAAGAGGCTTCTAAGGCTGACTTTAACTCACTCTCACTTAGTAACCAGCACAACCCCCAAAACATTCTTTTCCAAAAACCCTAGGAAGATGATCAGTTTCACTGCTCAATGAACCTCTGTCTAACCACCACAACTTTCCATAATTATTAAATTCAGATTTTTTATTTTAAATACTGAGCTGGGGTTTCATGTTTTGACGATAAGATCTTTCTCAAATTAGCAAATGGTCTGATCAGAATATTGGATTACACATGGTTTATTCCATTATTTCATTTATTAGTTAAGTATTTAGATTTGAGTTAATATTTAAGTCATAAATAAAATCTTGCAAAAACTAAGCTTTAAAAGAAACATTTCAGCTTCTTTAACTGCTGCTCTTAATACGTTAACTTTAACAGAAAAATCCAACCTCTCCTAAGTAAATACCTATGATGTCCCAGACACTGCTAGTTTTGGGAATTTTAAAACACCACACACACACACAAAGCTCTCTTATATTTAATCGTCATCAATAGAACAACTTTTCAATTAAGCAAGAGGGAAACCCTGTTTTATACAGTAAACGTCTCCTCTTGTATTCTGCTAGGTGCCACCACACAGAAGTGTGGGTAGAGGATCTAGAGACAGAATGGACTGAGAGGAGGATAAAGAGAATTGGTCATCGTGTGGAGGCCCTTCACTAAACCTGAAGAATTTCCCCTCCTGGTTATAAGAGGAACTCTAAAGAGTGCTTAAAAATGACTTTTATAAACATATTCCAAGTTATACATAGAAGTAACTATATTCCTTCACAATTTCTTCTTGGCCCCAACTAGACTGTAACCTGAAAGCCCAAACAATGGCTTATCCCAAAGCAGGGCTAACATATAGTTGAAGCTCAGTTTATTGAATAAAACTAGTTTGAGACCCTTGATGAAAATCCATAGCTACTCATGCTGACTGTCATGGATCTTTTAGATTTAGATTTCAGTTTCAGAAGAGAAAAATCAATTTCCTTAGTATATAATCATACATAGCTATGTAACAAGATTTTACTGGAAGTAAAAGATATAGTTGTGCATGCCTACTCTAAATTAGATATAATTGCTTTCTTTCTTTCTTGTGGTAAAACATAATTTGCCATTTTAACCATTTTAAAGTATACCATTCAGTGACATTAATTCTATTCACAATGTTGTGCAACCATCACTATTTCCAAAATCCTTTCCCAAACAGAAACTCTGTACCTATTCAGCATTAACTTCCCATTTCTACTTCCCCAGCCCTGGTAACCTCTAATCTACTTTCTGTGCCTATTTGAGAAATTTCACATAAATCTGTCCTTCAGTGTCTAGCTTTTTTCACTAAACATGTTTCCAAGGCTGATCCATGTTGTAGCAGGCGTCAGAATGTCATTGCTTTTTATGGCTGAATAATATTCCACTGTATATATACAGATATGGTTTCTCCATTCATCTGTTAATGGACATTTGGGTTGTTTCCATCTTTTGGCTATTGGGAATAATGCTCCACAAACATATTTGTATACAAGTATCTATTTGAGTTTCTGTTTTCAATTTTTTTGGGGATATCCCTAGGAGTACAACTGTGGGGTTATATGGTAATTCTATATTTAACTTTTTGAGGAACCACCTAACTGTTTTCCACAGTGACTGCACCATTTTACATTTCTATCAGCAGTGTACAAAGGTTACAATTTTGCCACATCCTTGCCAACACTTATTTTCTTTTAAATTACAGCCATCCTAGTAGGTATGAAGTGGTGTCTCACTGTGGTTTGATCTGCATTTCCCTAATGACTAATGATCCTGGGCATCTTTTCATGGGCTCAGTAGCTCATTTGTACATCTTCTTTGGAGAAACATCCATTCAAGCCCTTGCCCATTTTTAAATTGGATTGTTCATCTTTTGTTCTTGTTTCTTTTCCTTTTAAAACTCTTAGTGTTATTGACAGGGTAAACTACCCTTTAGTGGGATCAATTAGAATATTCATATTTTATGACCTAATGATACCAATTCTGGGACTCCAACCAAAAGAAATTATTATAAATTTATGAATGTGAAGCT